CCCCCCCCCCCCCAATTTTTTGAAAAAAAAATTTTTTTTTAATTTTTTGGCCTCAATTTTTTTTTAATCTCCTAATCCAGCCTATTTAATTGTTTGTGAAGTTGTATTGTTTATCAATTATGAGTGAAAGAGTTTCCTCAATCCCCAGGATCACTGATGGAGAAGTATTTTAAAAGATTAGTAGTTTCTTTTATATGTTTCTTGATTTTTTTGTGAAGTCTTTGTACATTAATTTATGTTCGTTTGTTTCATTTCTCCATCACAAAGTACCACATTTTCTCATTTTAACAATTAATGTTTCAAAAAAAAATTTCGGGAGCAGCCCCGTGAGCCCACGCCCCTTCAATTCCGGGACCTCCCTAGTTTGAAAGGCTGGCTCCGCCCTTGGATCGAACAACATATCTTTGTTGATAATTCTATAGATCAACATTGAGTTTCGATGCGTAGATTTTGCAACATCTACATGACTTTTTTTTTTTACGAAAAGAGAGCTGTAATGATCGCCTTTCTAATTTCTAAGGGAACTAGCTTGGGGTCGGAAAAAGTGAAATGGAAACTTTTAACTTATTTCTCTGTTTTTAAAGGTAAATAAGGTTTTATTTTATTTTTCAAAATAATATTAATGAGGAATTTGTTGGCCAAAATAAAACATAGATTTATCTAAAGTTCTAAAAAAAAGAAAAATATGTATGTGATGGTTAGTTCTAAGGTAACTAATATTCAACAGATTAATCTGATGAACATGATCATTTTTTCATTTTTGGATTTATTCTCCCGACTTTCCGTACATGGCCTCAAATTTAAGCCCTTGTTTGTTTTTCAAAATATATTTTTCTCTCTTGTATTTTCAATCACATTCTCCAACAAAATAATATTACGTGCAAACCCAAAATTTTTCCATATATTTTAACTACATATTCTCCATCAAATCACTACTCCAAAATGCAATTTTGGCTAAATTTGTAATTTTCTTAAATTTCGGCTGTCTCAATTCTCCCTCACACAATTTTGCCTACAGCCTCTTAATATTTTAATTTACAGTTTTTAGTTATTTGTTCAGCTTGTTAATTTCCTATTATTCTTGTCTTGTCACGTATTCGAAATATTTTATTTAAAATGCTCTAAATGCTAATGATTTCGATCAAATTGAGCTGAGCAGTGCATCCAACCCAGCGGAAAATTATGTTTGGAGATATGGTACTATGGTGGTGGGGCTGATCATTCGAGGCATCACGAAGAGAAAGTGCATGTCATGACAGGTCGACAAACATAAATTTCTATTTAATAGTTCGAATAATGATTGTATTAACTTGGTCAATTTTACTAATCACAAAAAGAAAGAATGGACGTGAGAAGGAAGAGAGTTGTTGAAGTTTCTAAACATTCATCAGTATGTCCAATCATGTTATCTATCTCTCTCTAAAAAGTTACCAAAGGCGGATTTCAGGGGTGGGCTACACACACCCAAAAAAAAAAATAGAAGGAAAATAATACAATCCTTTTTACCGAGTCAGTTTCGGATTGTAATTCTCAAATGTTAAGAAAGGCTCTTGATACTATTTTGAAGTGCTCGAGACGTACTTCGTAAGATATCTTGATAAGTAAAATCACTAAATGATTAGGTAATAACATTGTTCTAAAAGGCGCCTAGCCGTCCGGCGATGCCAAAGCGTCAAGCCTAATGGGTTAGCGTTTTATTTGGGGTCAACGACAGTTGTTGACCATTAATGGTGCACTTTTTTTTTTACAATTCTTTTTAAAAAATTATTAAAAGCTAATTTCTTCAGTTTGCCCTAATTTAAGTTTCAATGCTATTTAATTACTATTTTGTATTTAAATTTGAAACTTATATTTTAGTTGGAAACTTTGAAAAAATGTATAAAGTTCTTATAAATCCGATTTAAATGTTTAGTAAGTATTATTTTTAATTGATTAAAAATTAAATAATATTAAAATAAGATTCATTTTTGCACTTTTTTACGCATATGCCTCACCAAACTCGCCTAAACCTGAGCTTGGCCTCCACGCATCGCTACGCATTACGTCCTTTAGAACAATGGGTAATAATGACAAGTAATAAATGTGAAATAAATAAATCTAAATTGTGATTTGACTTATTCTTGAACTATATTTCTTCATCATATTCATCGGGGTATGCTTTTGGTATCATGTCAAAAAACTTGCAACCAACCGTATTACGCAAATTTAGTGGACTTGAGTTTAATAGTTTTATGTCAAGTTAATGCACTGTATTAAACATGCAAATTTAAAGATACGGCATAACTACCGAGGAAGTCATGTAATTTTACATAATTAAATCGACTCATTAAGATATTGCATAAAGTATTCAATTAAGCAGTAAAATTTGTAAATATTTAATTTTACTTTTGATAAACTACCTAAGAAGTCAGAATTTTATACACGTTGACAAGAGGAAATAACAATGACTAAACAACAGCAGCCATATCTTATCGGAAAAATCCATTTGTATCATCATTAAGGGATTGTAAAAATTACAATCTCTCACATTAGTGTGGGACCCGTTAATTAATTAATTTGCGGGCCCCACACTAATGTGAGATGTTGTAAATTTTACAATCTCTTAATGATTGTACACCTAGCATACATCATACCACAGTTTAAAGCACAATAAGAACTGCTTTAGTTTTTATATTATAGAATACAATTACAAGCTGCGATCGTCTGCAATCAAAAGAGTTTAGCATCTTATAAGCATTCATTTCACATAATACAAACCGACTAACCAACTTACTTATACATGCGCATAAGGGTAAAGTTATTCAAACAGGGTCAGTGGCAATGGACGAAAAAAAAGTGTATGTGTCATCACTTGTTTGGGTAAATTTTTTTTTTTTAAAACTGTCGAATCACTGAATGACACATGGCTCACCTGTTTTTATACTTGTCACTGACCCTGTTTTTGTAGCAAAACTCTACGCATAAAATGATTTGCTTGTAATAACTTGATTTGCCCATTGCGTCATGCCTGCTCCAATTGAATGTCTGATACAACACGAAGAAGCAGTTGACTCCATAGGGAAAACAAAAATGACGAAACTTGGAGCAATAATCCCATAAAAAACACGTACTTCTCTTTATGGAAAGAAAATTATATTTGAAGTCTATACGTCAGATCCACATAGATGATAGTCCTCCAAGACTACGACCCCCAGAATTTATTAAGTAGACACTGAGGATCACTTCGGTATCCAACTGATGGGGACATCATCTTGTTCGGCCATTTTATTTTGTTGTATAATGCTCCACGTACATGAACTTTTTTTTTACAGCGGCTTACAGGCCCCTCACTGTAGAGGGGTCCCCACTGTTTAAAAAAAAATGATTAAAAAATATGGACCCCGCCTGAAAGTGTGTGGCCTGGCAGAATCTGTGAAAATTCTGTCATGTACGTGTAGCGGCTCTCTATTTTGTTTTGGACTATTTTACTTTTGCTTTATTAGAGTTGGATTTGTATTATGGGCTGGCCCATTTATGTTTTGTTATTTATATGCTTGTATTGAACTTCCGAAGTAGACGATGAATGGAATGAAAATTGATAGGGGAAATTAGGATTTTCAATTTTGACTTCCTTCCCCAAAAAGTTGAAAAATACACCGTAGTTTCAATTTTAGGTTAACAGTTAAGAAATATATTCCATTGCATTAGAAAATCAAGAATTTAGATATCTTCTCTCTTTAAAAGTATGAGCTTTGGTCCTTTGGGATCTGTCTTCTCCCTCTGACGATTCTATCTAAATTAAAGTAGGGTTTCCTCCTAAAAATTTCTGCAATTTTTTATTCTTATTATCCACACACTCCTTAATTTTTCTATCCAATTTTTTTTCCTTCAATTTTGACCTTCTTTCTCTTGTTGCGCCGTCATGTTTAACATGTACCAATATTGATTTTCGAAAAACTATGGACTAAAAGAAAATCGAACCCAACAAATTAGTATACGACTCTAAATATTAGCTAAAAGATTGCTATAAGCACGCAGTGAATTTAGTCAAACATTTCTATTAAGAAAAATCACTAGTTTCACAAGTAATAAAGTTTCTTTTTCCATGAAAAGTATTTCATCACACAAAGTGTGTGATCTTTCAATAAAAAAAGTGATGTAGCTTGTCACTGCTTAATGTAGAACCTTAATTCATATCTAACGAACAAAAAAGTGATTCCAATGTTTTAATTAGTATTGTCACTTTTTAAAATATTTATCACTTTTA